TACGTGTTTTACGGCGCTCGCAACTGCATAAGGTCATATTATGAGCTCGCGGGATACACCTAATATCAGTAGGTAGGAAATTTTGAATTTTGCCTGGGTGGCGGCCGAAGCCTACTTTTATCGATTTTAGACCACCAAGGGATCTTTAACATGCGCAACTTGCACACGGGCCCTCCGAGATTTTTCGCCCTTGTCCGAGATGGCTAGAGGTAGATCTTTCCTACTAGAAGATCAGGGGTGTGGCTGAGAGACAGCAGAAAGAAGGAGCCAAGGAAAAGCGACAGAACATTGCTAGAGAGCAGGAAAGGATGTGTAATGAGAACATTTTAGAGAAGAAATTTCTCCGTCGCTATCCAGACTCGAACCCGGAACCTATTGAATGAGAGTCGAACACCTTAACCTCCAGGCCACGAGAGCCCCCAACGACACTAGGATGTTGTTATGACGTACCATAAGAAACTATGAGGACACGGAGAACAAAAGGAGACACTTTAGTTTTCGTTGTAAGAGTTTTACGAAACTTGCAAAACTTATTATTAAAGCATAGAAGCGCCGAAGATTAAAGGTGTGCCACGAGAGTAACAAACACAAAAAAGAAGGAGGGGAGATAAGGACGATAGATGTTTGATAGGAAAGAAAGAGAGCAAACCACACCAGAACACCCGCCAACCACCCGCAGTCAAGTCCAGAAACGTAACGTAAGAGTTCCTGGAAATCGTTCTTCGGCACCCTTCCAAAAAACGTTATCACCGAAAAGTGTTTGCGAACCGGGCGCTCTAAGTTAGCTAGCCTCTTCATGATAGGCAAGCGGCCGGACTCTTTAACGCCACACAGTGTCTATTCGGAGACGCCTCCGACGGAGACGGACCAATCAAAATGCTTTGTGCCTCCGGACCAAGAAAAACAATCTGGGGGGTTACAGGGGGGCATCCCCCCCCCCCCCCTGTTTTAACCTGTAATTTGATATTTTGTAGTTGGAAATTTCCTTGAAAATAACTGATTTACCACAGTTTTAGTGGCTATATGATCTGAAGCAAAAAAATTATACGCAGTTTGACCCCCCCCCCCCCCCCCCCAAAGCAGTGCATCTGTGTGCGGGAGTACGTTTCCGAATACATTTGTAGTTCCTGGGTGCTCGCCGGAGACGTCTCCGAATGTCTTCTACCCTAACGCTACTTCAACCCCACGCACTCGGCGGATCAATCAGATTGAGGGGACTCTTCCGGACAGTATCGCTTCGGTTGATCAAAAACCCATACCTCAAATACGCCATACGCTACGGTAGATCGATTACCGTTTCAGTTCGAGTAAAGTAAAGAAAAGCACATAGAGAGAGAGAGACAGTAACGGTCATTTAGTGCTGAGGAAAAGCAAGGCTGGTAGTCGGAAACGACCGGGGGGGGGGGAGAAGAGAGAGAGAGAGAGAGAGAGAGAGAGAGAGAGAGAGAGAGAGAGAGAGAGAGAGGGAGAGAGAGAGGGGGGGGGCGAGCGAGAGAGCGAGAGAGAGACAGAGAAAGAGAGACACACACAGAAGAAGAAAGAGAGACCGACAGAGAGACAGACAGAGAGAGAGAGAGAGAGAGAGAGAGAGAGAGAGAGAGAGAGAGAGAGAGAGAGAGAGAGAGAGAGAGAGAGAGAGAGAGAGAGCGAAAGAGAGAGAGAGACACACACACAGAAGAAGAGAGAAAGAGAGAGACAGAGCGAGAGAGAGAGAGAGAGAGAGAGAGAGAGAGAGAGAGAGAGAGAGAGAGAGTGAACTAGTAGTTCTAACATTTCAGGAATCACTAAAACCCAAGTACCATCATCTGCAGTCCATTCGTTAGGCACTTCCCCGCCACACGCAAAAGATGTGAGTTTTTCTCGAGCATCTCTGTTAGTCTGTTGGGACGATGTATGTAGCCCTCTCCGTTTGAGTTGTCCCGACTGGCTGGGACAAAGTCATAAAGCAGCCCCGCTTCCTAAACGACCTACGTTGTGTCGGCACTTGCAACACAATAAGGTCATATAAGTGCCGAAGATTAGAGGTGTGACAAGAGTAACAAACACAAAAAAGAAGGAGGGGAGATAGAGACGATATGTTTTTTTATAGGAAAGAAGGAGCAAACCACACCAGAGCACCCGCCAACCACCCACTAAGCGAACTAAAGCTATTAACCCCTTCACTGCCAGGTCCGAGAAATGTCTTGTGCTCTTCGATTGGATTGAGGAAGAGGCCTGGCAGTGTATGTGTTAAACAACAATCCCCCAAAAATTATTATCTTTTCAATTAAGGAGCAACAGGTTCATGGGTTCAAGAACAGGACAGAATATTTTCTCATGGCTCTTTTCATAAAGGCTACCTTGAATAGAAACTTTACTTTTTTAAAAAACTTTTTTTCTTCCGCTTGTACCCTGGGGTGTCGCGGGGAGACACAGGTGTCTGTCTGCAGCAAGTCGTGTGGCCTGTAGGAGGGACATCCAATGATCTTTAAGGGTGTCTGCCACAGATTCACTCCATCGTCGCCTTGGTCTTCCTCTGGCTCTCCATCCAGAATATTTAGTGTTGTATGCTCTCAGAGCTGGATGGTTAGAGGGCATCCGCGTGAGGTGTCCGAACCACTTCACCTTTTGTTTTTCAATGTGTGGTAGGACTGGTGTTGCTCCCACGGTGTCCCTTATGACTTCATTTTTAATTTTGTCTCTTCTTGTTTTGTTGACCGCTCTTCTTAAGCATTTCATCTCGCATGTGACCAGTTTTCTCTCTAGGGCTTTTGTTAGAGTCCATGTCTGGCACTGATATGTGAGCGTTGGAAGGAAAATGGCGTTGATGAGCTTCGCCTTGGTGCTCAAGGGGATATTGGGATGTTTCAGGAGAGGGCCCAGTTGGTAGTTGAATAGAAACAGATGGCACAAACGGAAAGATGCACAGTGAGAAAGAGAGAAGCTTTTTAGTTTTAGTAGACGTTTCATGGCACTCGCAACTGCATACAGTCATATGAGCGCCAGAAGATTAGAGGTGTTACAAGAGAGTAACAAACAAACAAAAAGGAAGAGGGGAGATGAGGACGATAGATATTTGACTGAAAAGAAGAAGCTGTGGCGTGCACATCCAGCAACAAACGGGTCAAAGACAGGCTTTTGGTGTTTTAAAAAAAGCAACCAATAAGCAATTTCAAAACAATGCGCGTCCCATACAATGTTTTTGTGGATTTCCCTTGTGAAATAGTTGATCAACCCGACCATTCCCTTCCTGCATATGAAAGCATGTAGAACAGGGTTTTTTTTCCTTCGTCATGGACAGTCTTTACAAAGTTGAGTAAAAAAAGGACACATATATGCGAGGCATCTTGGTGAAATCAGGCGCTCGTCAAAATAATGAAATCAAAGAAACTGGCGTTTTTCAACCCCTTGGGCAATTTTTTTTCTAATTTTCTGTTTTTAGCTTAACACCTTTTATATCCATAAAAACACATTTCTGCCTGGATTTTGGCTGAAAAACATTGATAAGAATCACAAAATTTGTAAATTTTCAGTTTCCAAGGACTCTCAAGCTATAGAAATTACCAACTTTGGTGGCCATTTTCTTGCTAATCTTACCTCTGAAACCAGAGGACCCTGACCTCCTTCAATGGCAACTATTTCAACTTCTATTCTACATTGATGGATATTTTTTCCACCAAAAGCAAGGCAAATTAACAGTCTTTTAGATGGTACCAATAACCTTATAAGCCCAAAATTTGACGGGCGACTGATTCCACCACGTCGTTCACATATTTTGTTGGATAAAGGCAAAGGGATGAAGAAAGCACCTTTGAAATACAACCATTGCAGAGTTCCAGGACCAGAGTCATTTTAGAAAGCCAGTGTTGCACCCAAATCAAGGTACATTTTACGAGAAGCCAAACAATACTTTGCTTTAAAGTATAGAACTTGGACGGTTCAGCTCAAGAAACACGTATGCCACATTTGTCTAAAATCGACTTTATCAATTGCTTTTCCATGGCCCCAGATCTTTCTCTGCAATATATCTTTTCAACGTGAGAATCAGTCAGTAAACAAGTTAGTTACAGCCCGACACTGATACTCAACAAAATAAATGGTTGCTTTTAAGCACAATGGGGCTATCCCGAAAAATGCTGTTTTGAGAACATCGAAGGTAAAGTTTTTGCCCCTTGTTCAGTTTCTTTAAAAGACAAGGAGGGTTTTCTCTATAAACAAACAAATATACACACCTATGAAACCAAACTTTTCCTATGGGAAGCGCAATGTCCACTTTTGGCGTACGTCAATATTTCTGGAAACCCCTGAAATCTGGGTTAGCCCGCTTGTCCTTAAAAGCGACCAAATGTAGGCTAACAGAGACAGATCTGTGGCCACGGGAAAGCCCCCCCCCCCCCAAAAAAAAATGAAATAAAATTTTTAATCCACTTTTGGAAAATGTGACATACGGGTTTCTTACACTGAACCGTCCATACAATCTCTAATAATTGCAGCCCCCACACGAGAGAAGAGTACCTGTGCTGAGCCCTCCACTTCCTGGTGACTGTTGAGCTGTACACTGCCGTGGTTGTCCACGCGGCTCATCTCCACACGGTTCCACGCTCCCAGGGTCACACGGTTAGGTGTTCGCAGCTCGGCAGCCCCCGTGCCGCAGTCAAATCTATAAGATCAGATAAGATAAGATAGGATAGATAAGATAAGATACATCTTTATAGTCCAGATCCTGGTACATTGGTTCGGTGTTTCACCATGTACACCCACACACATGAACACACACACACACAAACACACACACGCATATATGCACACACATACATACACACACACACACACACACACACACACACACACACGCATACGTACACTCATATACACACACACTCTTCCCTCACAAATGTGCACACCGATATACACATGTACTCACCCATTCACATGGGGACCGAAGGGGAGCAGGGAAGGGGAGGGGTGGGTGGGTGGAGGCAATAAAGCAGTTTCGTAATTTAGTTAGTTCTATTAGAGGTTTTACGGTGCTTGCAACACAATAAGGTCATATAAGTGCCGAAGATTAGATGTATCACAAGAGAGTAACAAACATAAAAAAAGAAGACCGGGAGATAAGGATGATAGATGTTTGATAGGAAAGAAGAAACAAGCCACACCAGAGCACCCACCAACCACACAAGTAACTGAGTTTAAAATCAAAATATCCAAATCAAAATCATTAGACGGGATGGCAAGACACACACGTACTTGTAGACCACGTATCCATCGTCCAGGACCAGGGAGAAGAAGTCGGTGCGGGCGTCCGACATCTCTCCGCTGAACAGCAGGAGTCCGTTGAGCGACTCGGGCATGAACTCCAGGGCCACCCGGAACTCCTTGTGAGCGTTGCGCAGGGTGGGCAGGGCGAGGAAACCGGTGCCCATGAACTTGGGGTAGCGTACTTCTAACACTGGAGGAAACAACGTCATCAATAAATTGATTTTTGACTGATAGAGTAGGTGTTTTACGGCACTATCGACTCAATTTTGGTCATGTAAGTGCCAACTGTAACAAATCTAGAATCATAATCGATAGAAGGAAAACATGACCACAGTGTTCTTTTTTGGTAGAGTTTTACATACGGTACTGGCAGCAACACACTAAGGTCAGTTCAGAGTTTGCATTTTGCACAAACCTTCCAAAATAAGCCAGAGGAAATTTTTTAAGAATTAAATTTCCACACATTAAACCCTAATTTTTAAAAATCTAATGATCCCCAGATGGATGTTAAATATTCAAATTATAGCATGACATTTCACGCCTACAAAGATTGTTCGGTTTTGTTGGGGTTTTTCCGCACTTTTAAAAAATGAGGATTTTCCAACAGGATATTAAAAAACATTAACTAATATAACATTACCTCTTCTTACAGTGTTGAAATGGGCGTCAAACTTATCATAATAATATGCCCAACATTACCTCTCACAAAAGGGGGTTAGTTTTTTCATCTATTTTAAAATTTGGATCAGGACATCAAAACACATCAACATGTTCATCACCTTTCCATGCAGTGTTGAAAGGGGCATCCAACATATAAAAATGACCAGCAGCAGTTTCTCTCCTTACAGATTTGAAAGGAGCATCCATCCAATAAAATGACCAACATGGCCTCTCCATACAGTATTGAAAGGGTTGTCAAATTTACCAAAACGACCAAAACAAACCCTCCTTACAACAGTGTTGAAAAGGGCCTACATTATATCCAAACAACCAGCATTACCTCTCTCGCAGTAGGTCCCGAGGGTGCCCAGAGGACACCTACAGATGGCCTCCCCTTGCATGACGGCGCACGTCCCGTTGTTCTCACACACAACACCGTCACACGACACGACCTGCCCGTCGAACCGGGGACGGAACTCCTCCTGGATAGACGGCACGCCGATCTGGTTGGTCCGCAGCAGCTCCTTCTCCGCCTCCTCCTCCTCCAGACTCCCGCCCTCGGGGATGTCCAGCGGGTTAAAGTTCACGTCGTTGGGAGAGGCGACCCCACCCCCACCCTCCAGCACGTCGTAGTAGCCTCTATCCAGGATGAGGCTGCTCTGCGTCTTGTGGTGCGGACGCCTCTGCTCACTGGCCCGGGGCGGCTCCAGGCCTTTGGTCAGGTCCACCGTCTCCACGTGCACCACGTCCTTGTCGCTGATCATCACCTCTCCGTCCTGGTTCACCTTGACCTTCGGGGCCGCGGGGCCGCTGCCAACGACCTTGGGCCCGGGCACAGGTGGGTCGCTTTCATTTTCCAGCGGTTCTAAAGACTGATGAGTCCCGGTGGAGGCGTCGTTTGGGGCAGGAAGTTCTGGAGAGTCAAAAGAAAAACAACTTCTTAAAGGCAATCATCATTAAATGAATGTCAGATCTGAAACCGATAATGGCAATTCCCCATTCAATTTTCAGTTTCTATGCTCTTTAGTTTCAGTAGAGGTTTTGCGGCGCTCACAACACAATAAGGTAATTAAAAAAAGGAGGGGAGATAAAGATGATAGATGTTTTGATAGAAAAGAAGAAGCAAACCACACCAGAGCACCTGCCAACCACCCACTTCTTACAGGCAATCATCATCATCATTAAATATCAGATCTGAAACCGATAATGGCAATCAAGATTCGCCATTCAATTTTTAGTTTCTATGCTCTATAGAAAAAATATACTATTTCTGGTCTTTTCACGCCACCCGCCTGCTAAGGTTTTCTTTTTAGTTTTAGTTAGAGTATTACGGCACTTGCAACACAATAAGGTAATAATATAAGGGCCGAAGATTAGAGGTGTTACAAGACAGTAACACACACAAAAAAGGAGGGGAGATAAAGACGATAGATGTTTGATAGGAAAGAAATAGTAAACCACACCAGAGCAACCGCCAACCGTCCACTTCTTACAGGCAAACATCATCATCATTAAATGTCAGATCGGAAACCGATAATGGCAATCAAGATTCGCAATTCAATTTTCAGTTTCTAAGCCATAATGAAAAAATATACTATCCTGGTCCCCCCGCATGTTAAGGTTTTCTGAGTTGATTGATTTGGGTCTACCCCTGCCTCGTTTGTCTTCTATTTTTCCAGTGACAGCAACATGTTTAAGTCATATATGTCAATTCAAGTTACCCACAAACTGCATTTGCCTCTCTTAATTGTTTTTATAAGAAAAGAAAATATGAAGGAAGGGAGTTCATTTCACGGTTATAATATAGACTTTCTTTTCCCTTGATTGTTCTGTTGAGGCTCTTTTGCATAAACGTTTAAAATAATTCAAATACATGTACAAGTTGTCATAACTATGTTCAGTTGATGAACACAACTGAAAGAAGACTGAGATGAAGCAGGCAAGTTCAATGTAGTATTTCATTTTCCCCATAAAACTATAACCAGATCAAGGTGTGCAACCCCCC